ATCATCCTCAGGTAGTGTAGATTCTAATTTGTTCAAATGATGAACGCCTGGAGGGGGGGATAAATTCAAGCCCGATGTGCTCAGGTGAGCGCTGTGGCCCCTGGGCCTCTTGTTTTATAATACTGATGAGCAATACTTGATTGTGAACCTTTATTTTTCATTACATGTATAAGCTTATTGATTATCAGGTACAAGTATTATAATTATTTAATATCTGTATCGAGATCTATTATATAAGGAGAGGGTGTACACAGGCATCGCTTATTGCCAACGCTTTATTGCATTATTCAATGAAATATGTTTATATTAAAACGTAAAATGATTTTTTTTCTAGTGTTAGATATCTAGTATCGTATCTTCCTTTTAGCGATAAGCACTCATTTTATCTATTACTCATCAAGCAAGACAATTTTGATTATTAAGGGTACTTACCACAAACAAAAAATGGATGCACGGCTTGATATATAATTTTTGACTGATTTCGATTTAAAATGACATAAATAATTTATCCCTGAATTAAAAAGAAATCGTAGGTTTTCCTTGATGCTTAGATATGAGATTTTGTTTTGCCTTCTATACAATTCCATACAAAATTTTGCACAATTTTTTAACCTTATGACATAATCTTATATAATTCTCCCAATCTCCTTGACAAACATTATTCAGGTTACCAATTTAAATGTAAATCTATGAGAAATAATGCTGATTTCTGAAAAAAGTTTGTTTGTGTTATTTATCCTTAAAACCCGGTTTATATTTTAATTTTGGACGGAACGATAACATTGTTTTCTGAGAGCGCGCAAGAATCAAATAAATTCTTAAACAATAAAAAACACTTATTATATCTTTTGCTCATTAAGTACGTCATTTTATGAAATTAAATTCCGGATAAAAGTTTTCACTCTGGACAAAAAGATAACATTGGTTTTTTAAAAGCTTGTCAAGTATCTCTTTAGATTTCAATGTAGATCACTGCATTTTTTTAAAGCTGTTTGAGTTGATAAGATTTAAAAAAAAAACCTTTGTTACACATCATATAAAGGGCTCGCTTAAACATCAGAAATCACTGTAAAGATGGCCGTTCTACGAGTGCAATGTTTACTTCTCTTTATGTTCATGTATGGAACATTTGGTGATTTATCTTTAATTGAAAACGAAGTTTCTGATAAAAATGGTTTGCTCCCTAGTACCATATCCGGTAAGGCTTCCAATGTCCTACGTGACATTCTTAATCAGGAAAGTCTGGTCCGTTTCTCTATGGTACAAAAAATACAAAGTTTAGTTATGGATGCTACGAACAGCAAAAGCGATATACAAGTTATTAAGGCGAAACTTGGTGAAATGGCAAAGGACTTATGGAACTTGAAAACGAAAAACCAAATATTGGAGGAAGAAAATATTGAACTTAAAGAGAAATTCAAGATGGTGAATGGAACGGTGAATGTAAATACAAACTTTACAAAGCAAGAAATGCAATATATTGACCAGGTGGTTGAAAGTAAAACTTTAACTCTTCAGGAACAGTTTGATTTGTCAAAAAAGACATTGGAAAGAGACTTGAAAAAGGTCATACAAACATTGAAGATGACGGAACAGAATACAAAAGAGAAAATAAAGGCTTTAAATGAATCGCAAATGGTTTCCGCTAAAAGCCCGCAAATCGAAATGTTCCAATATCAAATGAATGCAATGAATGTAACATTACAGAAATGCAGCGTAAGCAGTTTTTTTGAACGTGTGAAAAAGACAGAGTACGCTTTAGAAAACTTCTCCGTCTCTGTTAATGAAACTCTACATACTGTTTGTGGGGATCTGAATGAATCCAGCTGGATCTTGTCTAAAGGTAAAATATTACATTGTATTTCAGTTAAGACTACTAAACTGAATTCTAAAGAGAATGATTGAAACAAACCTTGAAGAAAGAGAACTGTACATTAGAATAATCGTGTTACAAACTTTCTTTAATAAATATAGATATGATTTTTCTTCGAAATCGTTCATGAGATATATTTTAGGCGTTTGTACACCATATAATGTGTATCATCTTCCACATAAACCACAATAATGTTCGAATCTTTATTTGATCAATCTGTTAGTGAAGATGTTGTTTTTTCAAAATATATCTTCTCTTTCAAAATGATACAGAGGAATTAATTCATCGCACTTTTTATTTTCATTTTTAGCATACATTTATAATTTCTAATCACAAGTTCGTTTTTTTTTAAATACCCATATTAATTCATCAAAACAAATAAAATTACATATACAAAAAGGAATAACATTAATAAATACTATTGTTGTTCCTAGAAATAGACAATAGAAACTTTGTAAAGTTTTTTTCAAAGAAAGAAAAGATGGGAAGAAAGTTAAATGAAATCATTTCGAAAACTGATTTATTCAAGAGCGGATGTAATGCTGTTATGTAAGATTGCTGACGTCTTTAAATGTCTGTAAGTGAAATTTTCATTTGCCCATAGAATTAAATACTAGTATACGAATATGTATGTTATTGAACCTGAATATACACTGGGAAAAACATTTAAAAATGTAATTAAGTTAATAGAATTAAAGGTATATCCAGAAATTTGTTCAGGGGATTGGGGTTGAGAGGATACATGCCAGCTTATAGAGAAAAGAAACCAACTCCAAAGTGGCAAGATATACAATATATAAGCCATTAAAGGTACTTCTACTATAATAATGCCAAAGCAAAACAAAAAGATTTTTTTTAAATGGTGGGCAATACATATAAGGCATTTGACTTTTCACTTTTCGAAATTAATTTGCATTCAGTCGTAATTATCGGAAAAAAAGAGTTGAAAATGTATATTCTTCTTGTTCAGTCATATTCAAATGCTTACTGTGGGTCTTTTGGCAGAGGTGGATACAAGGTGTATTTGGTTTACACAATATTTATTTCGGAAAAAGGGGATAATTGCAGACAAAAATTCCTAATCAGGTTTCACCACACAATTTCAGTCAGTCCACAATTACTTGAGTATTTTCTGTTGAACATTGAAGTTTACAAGTGTCCTAAACATTTATTTGTGACAAATTTATAATCTTTTGCATAGTGCTTCTGAAGGATTGCGGGGAGATTTTAAAGAAGTTCCCGAGTTTAAAGGGTCGCAATGGTATATACAGAATTTCCGTAGGCTCTGAGGTCAAGTCTGTTTACTGTGACATGAGTACTGATGGCGGGGAGAGGACGGTGAGTACAACTCATAATAATAAAGAAGAAAAAATAATTTACTTGTTATAAAATAAAAATAAAAGTATTTTTATTTAGTAAAAAGATCTACTCCGTTTGTTCACAAAAAAAACCCCAGATTTTTAAAGAATTACATATATACATGATGTAGAATCCGTGTGTATTTGTCAAGATTTCATAAATGATTAAGTAAACAAGTTTTAAATTACTCAAGTTTGCTGAGTGTAAAACGAATTACAAATCAATTAATGTGTTTCAGGCTATTCAATGGAGACAGGACGGTTCTACAGATTTTTACAGGACGTGGACAGAATATAAACAAGGATTTGGTGATCCCTCTACAAACTACTGGATTGGTAAGATTGACTTTTTGCTTTAGCAAAAAAAACTTATCTCTAATTATAACTATATGTTATTGATTACATTATTTACTTTAGCATCATTTTCTTTGCATCTGGAAGCTTTTCTATGTATATTCAAATGTTTGTTGTAGAAAGCAAACACAAACGATACCCAATTTGCACCAGTTGTTATTTCCTGTTACTGTTTATAAATCCTGATGATTAAGTAGGCCTTTTAACTAATTTTTCAAGTTGCACAAACATTGCATAGATAGGTTTATAGGTACATGAAAATATTTAAAAAAAAAAGATAATAACTTATGCATACTTTTAATTACGTCATTAAAAAAATTAATATTTTATAATTGACTTTTACGATGTTGTGTTTTAAGGACAGGTAACTCAGGTGTGAAAAATGACCAATTAAGTGCCGAATTATGAGTTGTCGTTTATAGGAATGACATATAGGCTGTTTCGGCATTGGTATTGTTATGCACACAAAAGGGTTCCTTACATTGTTTTGTACACAAAAGTGTTGACCAAAAGAAGTAGAATGCCTTCACTCTACCTGAAATAACAGGGTCGAATGAATGGAGAACAGACTCTATTCAATATTTTTAACTTCTTTGACGACTGTTGTGAAGTAGAAAATAAAATGTCATGTTTTTTGTGTTCGCGCTTTTTCGCTTCCTATATAAAAACATATTTTTACAAGTAAATGCAACAACTGATTATCTTATTTGTGTTACTAAGCACGAAGGGGAACGACCGAGTATAAAAATTCAATCAGGTTAGAACTAAGAAGGAGGGTAGATTTCACTTTTTATTTTAATTAAAAATTTTAAATATATATTATTAAACGGTGTCCGCAAATACACAGTAAAGAAGTTTAACATTGGAGCTAAATTTTAAAATTACTGGATTCTACTGACAGCAAAGAAACACTTAGGAAATACTAAAAACTGACTTGCATGTAAACAGTTAGATCCTCGGGCCTGCTTCAAACAAGTTTCAGCAGCGAGTTATCGTTCATGAAAGCGAACCCTAGCGGCACTTGAAAGGCCTAAATTAAGCCATTTTACATTTATAAACACAAATAAAAACTATTGGAAAGAAACAGAAATTAGTTCTGCTTCTACATACATAAAAGATGCAGAAATCCTCAACTTTACAAAAATTTGCTTCCCAACATACCTGTACTCATGCAGTGTGCACGAGATTCAAGATCAATAATTTCGAAGATCTTATTTTTGCCTAATTCGGCCGAGGGCTCGTGGTACAACTTTTATTTTTGCTATACAATACTGTATTAAAAAGAATAAACAGATATCACTATTAGCAACAGATTTTAAAAAGAAATGAAGATATGCAGGACTTAGAAATAATTATAGAGCCAAGAATTCTTTGTAATTTTCTTTTGCAAATTTAATGAATGACATTTAATTACATAATTTGTTCCATTGATTTTTCTATCAACCTTAACAATACAAAAATCATCAAAATGTTTATCAAGAAAAAATAGGAGAATGAATCATATAATTTTATAAACCAAGAACCTAATTAAAAATAATTTCAAATCTAAGAAAAAAATCCTTTTGACGTGTAAGATGAATATTAAAGCAATAAACCATGTTACACAAAACATTTTACATGGTGAGGGTAGAGATTTACCATAGGTTCACAGCATTTACACAGATACAGTTTTTAGATATCTTTCAAAATACCCCAAATACCCAATTAATTATTTTTCAAAGATATTGCCCAATAAAAATAAACATTATAAATAAATATAGGTCAAAGAAACTTGATATTAAAGATTTGATAATGCAGAACGTATAAACAGGGGAAGGGGCTTTATGCGCTACTTTAATATAGTTGAGCTTATCTGCTTGTAAACCAGACGCACTTTCTCCATAAATACACTTCCAAAATGATCATCTTGTCACAATAGGCCAATGGAGAAAAGACTTTTCTTGGGCCCCCAGAACAACTTTTTAGTACAATTTAAATTGCATAAAATTAAAGGACTTACTATCAAATGAAAGGTCTTGTCACAAGGATTGAATATGTAAAGTATGAAGGTTTGCTTTTTAAAAGTAGGTCAAACTCCAAAGTCAAAGGGACAAAGGACTTGCTATCAAATGGAAGGTCTTGTCACAAGGATTGAATATGTAAAGTATGAAGGTTTGCTTTTTAAAAGTAGGTCAAACTCCAAAGTCAAGGTCAAAGGATCAAAGTTCTTGATATCCAATAAAGGGTCTTTTCACAAAAATTACACATGTGAAGTATTAAAGCCCTTTCCCTTAAAGTTCAAAAGTTATGGCCAAAGTTAAAGTTTTTTCATAAGTACAGAAATCTCCAAGGTCAAGGACAAAAGGTTAAAGTTGTTGGTATCCAAAGAAAGGTCCTTCCACAAAGCATACGTATGTGAAGTATAAATGTCCTTGTGTCTACTGTTCAAAAGATCTGGCCAAAGAAAAAGTTTGGAACTTTTGAGCAAAAGTAGGTCAAACTCCAAGGTTAAGTTCAAATAGTCAAATTTGGTGGTACCTTAAGAAAGGCCTTGTCACAAGAAATACACATGTGAAATATAAAAGTCATAGTTCCACTAAATTAAAAGTTATAGGCAAGGTTTAAGTTTTTGCGGACAAACAGACATACAGAGAGACAGACACATAGACACACAGACAGATGGACACAACAAAAACTATACAGTACAGCCCTGAAACTTCGTTTACGGGAGCAGAAAAAACAAAAAAGGAAAATAACAGTCGTAATATTGTAGATAATTATGAAAAACAACCATACAGTGTCCCTTACTGCTTTTTGAACAACGTCTCACAAGATTGTCTAGCTATACAATATTTATTTACATGAAAATATGAACAAAGTGCATTATTATACTCCTGTTAATATGTTTCCTATATAAAGTTCAGAGGGTAAAATAACTATCCTTTATAGTTTACGCATAGCAAAACTATACCCCGGGGTATAGTTTTTGCTATCCACCCTCGGAAAATTTTCATGCAATTGTTGCCGCCAATTTTGATTTCCAGCAATAAATCTTTAAATTGATGATGTCATAATGAATTCAGTAGCATTGTGACATCATCAGGATTTCAGATTATTCTTGCAGAATTATCTTACTCCAAAGAAATTCAAACCTCAGAAATAAAATTATACATCAGTATAATAAAACGCTTATCCACTGGTTGCGAGTGGGATAGCTCTTTTATCAAACCCTTGACAGGAACTATTCCCCTCGGGCAAGCCCGAGAATAGTTCTCTGTCGCGGGTTTGATAAAAGAACTATCCCACTCACACCCAGTGGATAAGTGTATATTATGCATTACATTGATAAAATAAGTATTCCAAAGATTGTTTACAATAAAGTAATATGTATGTTTTACCATTTTCTAAAGGAAATGACGCAATCTATGAGTTGACGAAGAACAAGGACCAGGAACTCCGGGTTGAGCTACAAAGATTTAATGGTGACGAAGCCTACGCTCAGTACTCCACATTTTATGTCGGAGATAAATACCATAAATACGTACTCACTGTATCGGGGTATTCAGGAACCGCAGGTAGAACTAATCATAACACTGAACTATAATCTCAATCATCATATGAGATAGGAAAATCAATCAGAAATTTAATTCTGCTTATAACACTTAGTTGGCTGAATAGAAAAAATTAATTTATATTGTAAATTTAAAGTGCATTGCTAAACTCAACTTGACTCAAATCAAGAGAGTTTGCTTGATGTCACATGTTTATCTTGCATATTATGAAGACATTTTAACTGGATATTATCTTAATATTAACTTGTTACGATGTTATTATTATTTTATCATTGAATTATAGATTATAACATTATCAATACTCTGTTACAGGTGACAGTTTGAATTATCACAATGGATATAAATGTACAACAAAAGACCAGGATAACGACAGGTATAGTGTTGGTAACTGTGCTGTATCATATCACGGAGCCTGGTGGTACAACGACTGTGCCTTGTCAAACCTGAACGGGCTGTATGGACAGTCTGGTGTGTCTGGTTGGAAATACACGACATGGTATCACTTGAAAAGTAACTGGGAAACATCAAAACAGACCGTGATGATGATCAGACACAAGAACTAGAGAACGTTTATAATCAGATCTGACACATCATTACAAATCTGATGTTTTATTTTTGTCAAACAATCAGAAACTTTTTCTATCACTGAATTAAATTTTCAACAATCATGCTTTCTTCCTAGAAACGCATTAATGTTGTTTATTATAAAGGTGGCAGTTATATGCAATAAAGAAACCTCAAAGCAGACAATGTGTGTGAGTTATTTTACACTTCATATTTGCATAGAAAAATGTCTTTAAACGGAATATTCATGGTGGATAAATATATCATAAACTTACAGTGGATGAAAAATTAAATGATCAACATAATATATAAGAAGTACTATAGTAAATAGGCTTACAATTTCGATATTAATTTTCTTTTTTTATAAATGTTATATAAATAAGTGATGATTATAAGTCTGAGTTGTGCTTCAAAGAACTGTAGTAGGATCTGTCTTGATATATTGAGATAAAACATTAATGAAAGTCATGAGATCTGTCACGGCATTCACAGAACTATCTCTATATAATAAACCTTCAGAGAAGTCATGCAAACATTTTATAGACAATTTTGAACACAAGGAAATTATGGTTTATCTTGTTTCTATAGGACTTTTATTAAGCTTTGACATGAAATCTGAACGCACCACTTACAGTGTATCATGTCAGATTTAGGGGAGGGGGCTTGTGATCATGAATCCTAAATTAATGTCTAAATAAATTTAATTGAAGAAACTTAAGATAATAATAAATTAGCGAATAAAAAAATAAATGCTTTTATTAAGAAAATAAAAATGAATTTTCTAAAAAAAAAAACATTCATAGATCTAAAGCAATGCAAGTATTACTTTGTATTTGATGAACGGCGTGCATGGTATTTAAGTTTACAAGTACAAAAATATAAAACAAATGTTATTTATATGAATTCAGTTGTGACCACATTCAAAATTTAAATGTTATATAAAAGTCCTAACTAACAAGAAGATAAGCGAAAAAAATGTCATAATTTCGCAATTTCTATTGTTAAGATAAGGAAGCAAGTGGCATCAAACGTTACTATGATTACATCAGACGGGGTGGAGCTAGGGGGTGCTAAGGAGAAAGTCTACACACCTGAGCAGCTTGACCATGGAAAGCATTTTAAATAATATTAAGTAGCAGAAGAAAACAGAAAAGGATACTTATCACTAGGTGTCGTCGTATCATTAGGTATATTATGTTTAATGCACTGAGACATGCGCGGATCCGGGACTTTTTTCGAGATGGGGTGGAACATACCAACATTAATTTGTAAATTGAACTTTAAAATACGTGTTTATTTTTATCATTTATTTGTTTAGAATGGAGTACTGTACACACTTTATTTACGTATGAGAGATTTCTCTTCAATAAACCCCTATGCTCTCCTCCTAAAAGCTGTAGTACTCCTGTAAGTCGTTCAGTCCATCTGCCAGTTTACAGAGTTCATCTTCCAGTTTACAGCGTTCATCCGCCAGTTTACAGCGTTCATCTTCCAGTTTACACCGTTCATATACCAGTTTACACCCTTTATCTGCCAGTTAACAGCGCTCATCTACCAGTTCAAAGCGTTCATCTGATTTACAGCCTTTATCTGCCAGTTTACAACCTACATTTCTAGTCTACAGCATTAATCTACCAGTTTACACCATTCATCTACCAGTTCACATCGTTCATCTACCAGTTTACAACCTTCATCTACCAGTTTACACCGTTCATCTACCAGTTTACACCGTTCATCTTCCAGTATACAGCGTTTATCTTCCAGTTTACACCGTTCATCTTCCAGTTTACACCGTTCATTTTCCAGTATACAGCGTTCATCTTCCAGTTTACACCGTTCATTTTGTGGTATACAGCGTTCATCTTCCAGTTTACACCGTTCATTTTTTGGTATACAGTGTTCATCTTCCAGTTTACAGCCTTCATCTGCCAGTTTGCGGCGTTCTTCTTATGAATATTTAAACAATAAAATGCGGTCGCAGCTATTGCAGAAAAAATTTACATAACCCGCCTATGCGGGTTATGTATTTTTTCTGCAACAGCTGCTTCCGTTAATTCCAGTAATAGCAAACAAAGAAAGACATTTTCTTGTTTATATTTATATCTCTTTAAATAATCATTTAAAGCAGGATTAAAAAGATTAATTATTGTATTAATGATGCGAACGTCTTTATACGTTTCATTGATGGAACAGCCACTGATCAAGAAATCTGTACAGGCGACATGCCTACTGCAATTCATGCAGTGATTAACGCAATGGGTTTTCTTAAGAAATAAAGGAGAAAATATTCAGTTGATGTAAATATCTATTGCACAATGCAGAAAATAAACTACATTCTAAAATTAATTCGGTAAGGGATGTTAAAGATGAGTTATTTAGAATGGGACTTGGAAATTTTTGGTTTAATCAAGATTTTATTAATGCAACACAGTTTATATCTTGAATACGGAAAGATTATTGAATATCTACCTTCAAGATTGTAATGCTTTTTTTTTTTTTTGAAAATTCAACAAAGTGTTTTTTTGTACAAGTACATTGTGTGTGACAATTTTTCCAAAATCCATGCAAATTTGAAAAAACCTATTTATTCTAAGTTAAAGAAAAATATTACAAGAATAAGACTTTCTTCCTATAACTTAAGTATAAAAACAGGAAGAAATAGAAAATTGAAAGAAGCAATAGAATATGTCAATTTTGTAGTGATCACTGTATAGAAGATGAATATCATTTTTTGCTTGAATGTCCTGTTTAAAAAAAATATATCAAACAATAGTATTTCAGATCTCCAAATGTGTACAAGCTTACTTAGTTACTCAGCTCTCATGATGTTAAGGTTTTAATTGGTTTAGGAAAATTTATTCTCCATGCAAAGGAATTAAGGAATTAAGAAATAATGAAGAATTTAATTTATATATGTGTATTATATACTATAGTTATTTTTCATGTAATAATGGATAATTTGAAATAATTATAGTGTGTATTTGTTGTTTTGTTTTTTTTGGGGAGTCAAGCAGATGGACACTAGGGGTTCCACTCTCGCAGATTTATATCTGTTTTTATTTATATGCTAATGAGCCGTATGGCTTAAAGTTATTCAATAAAGACTTATATAATTTGTGTTCAGGTATCCATAGTACAAGCTTCATCATTTTTCATTAAATGACTTGGTAAGGACATGCATATTAATAATTACATGAAGAATCGTAATAATTGTCACTGGACCAAGTTTACGTTTCTTTAATGAAAGCAAGTAAATGTCTCTCCTTTTCAATTAACTTAATAGCCAGCTATTACATCATCAAGAAAGTCCTTAACGTGTCCCAAATAATAATAATATTACTCTTCAGTCTCTTTATAATAATATACTCATTGGTAGGCACATATCCTTAAAGTAGAAAAAACCAAGATTTCTTCTTTTATCTTTTTAAGTGGACACATTTTCCTAAATGTTACCAAAGAATATTGCTTAAACTGCCTAGGTCCTGTAATGCGCAGTATAAGCAATTCTCTTCTCAATTAGATGGAAAACAAGACACTTTAAATGGGAGGTCTGCAAATATCATACATTATCGTCTCTATTTACAAGGAACACTTATCTTTGCATATTTAACTTCCTTTTTATTTGGATTTTACAGACCTTGAGTTTCTTAGCATGACTCAGAGGAACTGTTTGTGATGTTGTTTTTTTCAGTTTTTAAAACTACTGTAGCTTTTTGTAGCAAAGACCTTAAAAATGTTGTAAAATTGGAAGATCCCCTTTACTTTTCAATATCCATAAAATTGAAACAAAAATACATTTCTTTCTCAAACAAACCTTATCAATATGTTACAAGCAAAACAAAGAAAACAGGACCATTCTACATATTTTACCGGATTCGAAGCCATTATAAAGAAGAATAAGGTGATTTCTCTGTGAGTCACTGGATTTGTAAAGCTGACTTCGATAGGTTGAGTGCATTTTTGAACTCGTCATCGGTGCAAGTTTATATCAATAAAATTTAGTATGAAACCAATTATCTTAAAAAGTCCAAAATACAGGGAGTCCCGATCTTTCCTTCGGACTTCAATTTCTATAATGAATTCTGTCGAAGATTATGCCAGACAGTGTTAATTTAGACAAAAAATATCTGAATACTTTGTCAGAGTGGAATAAGTTTTTATAAATCTATATTATTTTATTTTAAAGAAGGATATGAAGATAACGAACAAGATTCAATATCAAAGTCCATAAAAGAACACAAAATAAGAGCAGAGCAAACACGGACCCCCGAAACATCAGAGGTGGGATCAGGTGCCATGGAGGAGTGAGCATCCCCTGCTGACCGGTCACACCTACCATGTGCTCCTTGTCATGGTCGGGATATAACGGAAAAAATCCGTCGTCAATTCAGTGTATAAATAATGAACTAACAATTAGAATGAAAACGTCAGTCAGCATTTGACGCAATGATAAATTGTCTTTGCTGACAAGGAATCGATGCAGTCGAAATCTGATGACATTTAAATGTCAAACAGAGAATCACCTAGAAATGCATTACCAAGTATATGAACAACATCTAAACAAATGTAGACTGTTTGATCTGTCATAGCTTTCATTCTCCTAGAAACAGTTCAGTTAAATAAATTATACAGCGTTTTTTAAATAATTTTAATTTTGTTTGCAAGAAGTGGAGGGATTTCCCTGTATACACAATTAGCAAATAATATATATTCATTGACTTGGTTCGAGGACAACATGCCTAACGGCCTCAGGCAGACAGTTTGGTTCAAAGGTCCGACAAAACGCATTTTGCCCGAAAACTCAGTCAATAGATGTTTTGTTATACCTTTCATTTTATTTAATTTTTTTGACATAGTGATACATGTATTTTGTACTGTCCTCCGTTATCTTACATCAGGTCCATCACTGTTGAACAACAAAGAATGAAAATGAGATGAAGCTCCTCCCATTCTGTGAAGGATGAGATAACGAACAGTATTCAGTCTCAAAGTCCATAAAAGAATACAAAATCAGAGCAGAGCAAACACGAACGCCCAAAACATCAGAGGTGGGATCAGGTGCCATGGAGGAGTGAGCATCCCCTGCCGACCGGTCACACCCGCCGTCTGCTCCTTGTCATGATCACGAAATAATGGAAAAAATCCGTCGTCAATTCAATGTATAAATAATGGAATAACAATTGGTATGAAAAACGTCAGTCAGCATTTGACTCAATGATAAATTGTATTTGCTGACAAGGTCATTGTATCGACCATAGAACTTACGAAATAATGACTTTAAACGAGACTTCTGCTATTCTTGTTTCATCAACTTGCTTGTCAATAATTTAGCTCGTTTTAGAAAGTGTTCATACGTAGAGCATGCTCTTGCGTATCGAATCAACTGAGATATATATATAAACCATATACAGGTGATGAAGGTATATTGCTGCATAAGTAAGGGAAGATGACGATAGAAAAGTTAAAGTCATCACGTTTATCATAAAGCTTGGTTGTTAGATTACCATTAGTGTCTTTTTCAAGTAAGATATCCAAGTATGAAACAGAAATGTCAGACTCTGTGGTATCTTTTATCTCAAGCTCATCAGGATATATCGTATCGACGTAGGCGGTCATGACGTAAGCGGTCCAAAATCTTTCCGACCGGTTCAACATCTCACTCAGCGGTCAAACATTTTTTTATGCCCACTCAGCAAAACATTTGAAATGTTAAACTTTTTTATATAGATTTGTATAGGATCAATTTTTTAATGGTATAACAATGATGTATTCAAATATTCATATATTTTTGTTAATTTTGTTAAAAAGTGTATTCCTCACAAAACTTGCATAGAGTGAAGGTTGGGGATAATGAACAATGATCAATCTTACAGGGAAGATATATGCCTAGAAGTATGCATTATGCCGGTCATATCCGTCACTAGTTCTATGCATTGATCAAAGTTAATTTGAAAACATATTCTGAATCAAGGAATTTTTATAAGATGTCTAACGGTCATTTTTGTATGTAAAATAATCAAATATCAAAGATGAATGACAATTAGAAGCTTTAGAAGTATTATAGAATTATTATGTTCTTTTCAGCAAAAAAAACAATTACTATTTCAATGCTTCATGACATGATTACACTGCTAACGCCCATTGTTGCACAACATATAAAGAGCCTCCTCACACATAAGAAGTTACTTTTCTGCAAAGATGGGTGTACTACATGTACTATGTTTTATTCTCTCTATGTTTGTGTATGGAACATTTGGTGATTCATCTTTACTTGAAAACGAAGCTTCTGATAAAAATGGTTTGCTCCCTAGTGCCGTATCCGGTAAAGCTTCCAAGGTCCTACGTGACATTCTGAATCAGGAAAGTCTGGTCCGCTTCTCTATGGTACAAAAAATACAAAATTTAGTGATGGATGCTACGGACAGCAAAAACGATATACAAGTTATAAAGGCGAAACTTAGTGAAATGGCAAAGGACTTACGGAACTTGGAGACGAAAAACCAAATATTGGAGAACACAATGAAGGAAATGAAGGTTCTAAATGAATCTCAATCAGTGTCTGCCAAAATCCCCCAAATAGAGGAACTCAAAAACCAAATGAATGAAATAAATGTAACATTACAGAAGTGCAGTGTGAACAGTCTTTTGGAACATTATAAATATACAGAGGACGCTTTAGGAAGATCTGTGAATGAAACTCTGCAAGCTGTTTGTAGAGATCTGAATGAATCCAACTGGATCTTGTCAAAAGGTATATTATAACATTCTGTTTATGTTTAGACTATTAAACCGGATTTGAAAGAGAACAGTTGGAACAAGCGTTCATAATGGAGCTTTCTACATAAAACTTATAAATTAATCATTCTTTTCGAAGACCGAATCAATCAAGATTGATTTTTAATCACGTATATATTTATTTTTTATTTTGATGTTTTGGGGCTGCCTTTTGCTCTTTATAAACCTAAATTTTGAAAGAACACTATAACGTATATAGTCTGATTTACAATATAGAGTATGTATGTGGGTAACATTGAATATTCTTTTACACAGTGCTCCCAAAGGATTGTTCGGACATTCTGAAGAAATACCCGAGTTTAGAAGGAAGGGACGGAGTATACAGAATATCCATGGCCTATGAAGTAAAGTCTGTTTACTGTGACATGAGAACTGATGGAGGAGGGTGGACAGTGAGTAAAACTTGTTATTAAATAAAGAGAATAATTTAGGAGTGTGTGTGAAAAATTCTCTTCTACAAAATATAGCATTTATAGCTATTGTCAAGATTTCTTATAAGTACATAAACACGTCTTAAACTTAAAATACTCACGTTTACCAAATTCTAAACGAACTTTGAATTCAATTAATGTGTTAAAGGTAATTCAAAGAAGACAAGACATTTCTACAGATTTTTACCGGACATGGTCAGAATATAAAGAAGGATTTGGGGAGCCCTCTACAAACTACTGGATCGGTAAGTTTAGTTATGTACCATTTATATATTGTAAGGTGTCTATTTAAATGTAGTGGCAGAATATGATAAACAAGGATTTGGAGATCCCTCTAAAAACTACTGGATCGGTATGTTTAGTTTATGTAATATTTACATTATAAGGTACCTATCTATATGTAGTGTCAAAATATAAACAAGGATTTAGGGATCCCTCCAACAATTACAGCATTGGTAAAATTTACATCTCTCTTTTCTAACAAATAAACCTTATCATCTTCAATGAGAACTGCACGTAAATGAGTATATTATTTACTTGAATATAATTTTATTCATAGTAAGAGTGAATTAAAATAGTGTCTTTCATAGAAAGCAAACACTGAAACAAACTAAATTCAATATGCAGCCATTTGTTATTCCTTGTTTATTCTTATAATAAACCCTAGAATAAAGCTATATTGCATGGATTTCAGATAAACTATCACTTTTCCTTGAAAACAGAGTACCACAGAAACCATTGTAAAGAAGCGTAAAAAAATTTTCTGCCTCTAAATAATTGGAAAGGTTGCATAAATTCTCAACTAATTTCGGACTCACTTGCAAACATTCGCTTCCTAAAATACCTGTAATCATGAAGTGTGGAGGAGATTCTAAATCAATCATTTCGAAGATCCTATTTTTGCATACCTCAACTGATGCTCATGGTACAACATTTTGTGATATCTAATCCCAACAGACATCATGAAATAAAGAAAAACATCGCACAGAAACAATTTAAAATAAAATACTTTATAACTCTTTTTCTATTTTTTTTTTACTTGGCATTTACCTATATCATTTTTTCTATATATTTTATATCAAACTTGGCCCAAAAAATCCAAAATATTTATCAAGAATAAATAGCAGATTATGTCAAATAATTTTATAAACCATGACCAAAATGACAGAAAATTTAAAATCTAACAAAAGTCCATCCTTTCGAAAGCTTACATGATTTCTTGAATAATAAATCATGCTACATAGAAAATTCTACTGAACAATAGCCTTTTCATGGGTCCATCGGATCTATTTTTTACGATACAGAACAGTTAAAAATTTTAAAATGACATATCAACGTACAATTCTATTAAAGTCAATGTTTATTCAATTGCATACAAAATAAGGGAAGACAAATTCTTCTGTAATAAAACAGACACACTTAATCTAAGACATTAATTCAGTACAACAATCTGTTTTGTTCAGACCTGCGTTAACATGATTAAGAAGTAACAACATAATATTTTGGTTTGTTATGTTTGTATGCAATTGAATAAACATTGACTTTAATAGCATTGTATGTTGATATGTCATTTTGAAATGTTTAACCTGGTCAGTAGGAATTGATTTTTTTATGTAATAAGATTTCACAGAAAATAGGTATTTTACCCGTCTATAAAGTTTTATGCCAAAGGCAGCATTGCTGAAAGTTTATTACACTGTTATTTTTCCTCACTTGACCTATTGTTGTACTGTTTGGTGTTCAGCCAAAAACAAAAGTTTTATTAATAGAATTTTTAAATTACAGAAAAGGGCTGCTAGAATTATTATGAATGTGAAAGAAATTCAAACTCCTACTGTAGACATTTTAGTGCTCTTAAATGGATGCCTATACATGACTATTTTATATATAGAAAACTTGTCCTTGCTTTTGAAATTTTGAAAAGTATGATACCAGAATATTTGAATGTTTTTAGATATGTTAGCTAGGTTAGTTTTAGGGCAACAAAGAGTACTGTTAGTGACCTTTTATTCATTCCAAAAGCAAGAACAGAGTATTATAAACAATCTTTTAATGTCTCGACTGCAATTTTGTGGAACCAGTTGCCTGATTCTATTAGAAACTGTAATTGTTTAGCTTCTTTTAAACCAGCCTTTTTGCGAAAATTTAATTAAAAGAGTTGAAAAAATGGTTTTAAATGAATTTTTATCTTGTGGCACAATATTTAATACTAGTAGTTTATTTACTAGCATGTACAAATATGTCTTATATAATATGCTATGTATATATTCTTTTTTACTCTATTTTCTACTTTATTATTTGTTTTTAATCTGTCTATAAATATGTTTCATACAGGACCACAATGTAAACTAGTAATATGTACTAATTGTGCTATCCTGCCTAAATAAAAGAATTTATTTATTATTATTAAATTGAATCATCTGTCCTTAAACGTATCAATAGTAAAATAATACGTTTTTGTCACTTTAATGCTGCCTTGTAAGGTAAGAAAGGTGATAGATATTAAATCTATTACAAATGTTATAATATCCAAACAAATAAGTAAATTACATTGATTTCGTAATATGATAGATAATAAACGAAATACAGTACACTGTGCATGAATATAAACCCTAAACGATTTTTACTGCTTTTACTTGTACGGTATCTCACAAGTATTTTTAGTAAATTGCAATATTTATCTACATGAAAATATCAACAAAGTACGTTTAATATTACGTTTAAAAAAGTGTTATAAAGATTATTACTATCAGTTAATATTGCCTGTTTCATCCTCTTTTAAGGAAATGACGCAATCCATGAGTTGACAAGGAACATGGACCAAGAACTCCGGGTTGAACTCCAAAGTTTTGATGGTGCTGAAGCATACGCTCAGTACTCCGCGTTTCATGTCGGTGATCAATACAATAAATACGTACTAACTGTATCGGGATATTCAGGAACCGCAGGTAAGTTTGATCATAATGTTCAGTTATCATCACACCGGATACAAATATAGTTTATAATTAAATTCTGCTTCCACTAAATGGAAAATTTTACATATATAGTATATAGTGTGTTCCTTATGTCACTATTCGACTGACATCAAAAAAGTATCATTTATGTCGCAGCTTAATTTTTCATATCATTAGGGCATCTTTGAATGGATATTATCTAAATATTTTCACTTTGAAATGATAGAAAGCTATGATATAAAGAATAAATTACATAGAAATGCAAGTTATTTTAAGTCTTCCTAACCCTTTAAAGCCCTTTTCTATCTTAAAAAAAACACCTATTCCATGTCTTTAATGCGTAATACGTACAAACCAGGGTTCTTTTGAAGATAATAGATTCATTGCTTGAATGTGCTGTAAAGCTTATACCCCAATGTGTACATGAATTTTTAACAATATTTTTTTTTAAAAAATAAAGCAAATGTACCATTTAAAAAGGAGATGTGATATCTCGTTTTCAGTCATATACGTTTCAGGTATCTTCACAGTACAAATTATATTTCAGAATGCTTTGATACAAACTTTGTCTTAAAATGTAGGATATCTCGCATAAATAATATATGAGGTATTTCTTTGTTATCATTACATTATTCATTTACAATGTTTCTTTTAAATCCTCGACAATAGTGATTACGGTGGAGGTTATACAATGCTTTGAGTAATGTTTTAATTGTTACTAATTTATGGATTATGATTTTATCTATACTCTATTTTAGGTGACAGTTTGGCTTATCACAATGGAATGAAATTCACCACAAAAAATCAGGATAATGACAACAAAAACTCTAGTAACTGTGCAACAGAATACCACGGGGCCTGGTGGTACAAGGGATGTCACTACTCAAATCTCAATGGGCAGTACGTCAAGTCTGCCGTGTCTAATGCTAAACACCCGACATGGTTTCACTGGAAAAGTAAACATGAAGCGTTAAAACGGAATGTGATGATGATTAGACACAAAAATTGAATCATTTTAATTACTTAATCTTTCTTCTTTAATATTAGGGGGTCGTGTTTTATGCCCTATTCACCTAAATAACAGTTTATAGTTTTGTGTATGGTATCACTAGTAACAAAAATATAATTCATTATAACAGACTCTGATGATGATCAGACAAAGAAACTAACGCGTCCGAAAAGTCTGTTTTGTCTGGTGTTAAATACCCGGTATAATTGAACTGAAAAAAAGAAAGAAACAAAAGACAACGATGACGATCAGACACAGAAATTAATAGCTTTAAAAAAATCCATAATCAGTCCTGGCAAGAATGATGATTATCGGTTAAATAGTTTACTCATATGAAATAGGTAGTATTAAAACGTTATCCAATATGCTTATATCTGCTCTATTACAATTCATTCATTTATTAAGTACATTTTGTTGGTTTGATGGCAACCACCTGACATGATATCCCTGCCAAAATGTTCAAAAGGCTTCGATGATCAGATATGAAAACTAGAGATAATTTATGATCAGACCTAATATAATATAAGTAATGACTCATTACATTTTTTTTTATATTTTACTTTTGTCAAATAAATAGCAAATTGATGTAGTTTCATTATTTCATTGCAGTTTTATTATCTAAATCTTGTAAATAGACAATTACTTTATGCAATATAGAATTTTTTCTTTGTATAAATACATAAATGTTCTCCATTATAAATGCTTCAATTAAGGTTTCGTCAAAGGTCAACATGTCTAGTAAATTATTTTTACAATTGCTCCAAAACTATGTGTGATAAAAAGTCAAAACATTTACAGTTTTTACATATATCACTGATTAATAGATAGAAAGTATCACTTGATAACAATAATTTTAAAAAGATATCTTTTGAGAAAAATTTTATCGGAAAACTTGCATATTAAAAGAGAAATGCACCTGCTTAATTCTGTCCTTTTTGTGAAAACAATAATTGCAGAAATAATATATGTTTATCATTGATGGGCAAGTTGGACGTGAATGGTCTCTGAAAGGTTGTTATTGAAAGCGTGGCATGTATAAAGACAAGACCCCTATAGAATCCGCCATTTGCAGTGTACTTTCACTTTCAAGTCTTAACATTTGGATAAAATAAACAGGGAAAACAACTTTCCAGAGGCTATCCAAGTCCAACTTGCCCTTCACTGATAAACATATTTTGTTTCTGCAATGATGGTTTTCACTAGAAGCACGGAATTAATTAGGTGTATTTTTTTGAAAATATAAGCATTTTTAAGAAGAATTTTTCTCAATTAATATTATTCCAAGTATTTTTTTTATCAAGTGATACTTTCTATCTGTTAATCAATAGAAAATTTATAAACTGTGAAAGTTTTAACTTTATACCTTACATAGTTTTGGGGCTATTGTAAGAATAAATTTTTGGACATGTTGACCTTTGACGAAACCTTAAAGGTGCTTCACGAAGAGAACTCAAAGCAGGGAGATTGGATGGAAGTTAAATTTTAGCATCACACATGTATATCAATATGGAATAAAGTTAAATATAATTGATGAATTTAATCACCTAATATGAATTATATGGTGATAACAAACAATATTGAAGCTCGTAAGTCCACGAAGCAAAACAAAATAAAAGTTGAGCTAACAAGGACTACGAAATATCAGAGGTGTGATTAGGTGCTATGGGGAGTGAGCATCTCCTGCCGACCGGTCATACCCGCCGTGTGCTCCTTGTCATGAATTGGAAACAATGGAAAAATCTATCGTCAATATATTGTGTAAATAATAACATAACAATTAGTGTGAAAAACGTCAGTCAGCATTTGACTCAATGATAACTTATTTACTGAAAAAGTCATTGAATTGACAAAAGAACTTACAAAATGATGACTTTAAACGAGACTGCTATTCTTGTTTCAACAACTTGTTTGTCAATAATATACCTGTTTTGAAATTGTTCATACGTAGAGCATGTTTTTGCGCAACGAATGAAATGAGGGATATAAAATCTGTATGCAGGTGATGAAGGTATATTGCTGCATACATGAAAGTAAGGGAATTTAATGACAGAAAAGTAAATGTCAGAGTTTAGCTGTCAGATTACCATTAACATCTTTTTCAAGTAAAACATCCAAATATGAAATATATTTCTCAGACACTGTGATATTGTTTTCTAAAGCTCACCAGGATACATCGTATCGACATAAGAATTGAAATAACTATTGTTGATTAACCATACGTCGTTGATATATCTCTAGCTGAAGGCCAAAGCAAGTGTATTCCTCTTTTCACGTAGAAGATTTTAGACACATTCTCCGCCGTATGATTACAAAAATTAGCTCTGCTTATTTAAGGGCGCAATTGCCACCCGTGGGAATTCCAAAAAGAGTGTTGGAAAACCTGATCTCGAACAACCACAAACACTGTAAAGATATGTACAATATGTATATTTACGATTTCAACCTTCAAATGTTTTTATCAATGTTACTTAAATAAGCGTAAAGACAGATGGGGAATTCTTACTCTCGTATAATGGTACAATAATGAGTTTAAAAGTTTAAGTATGTTATATGATAAGCGATAAGTTAAAATATTATCAGCGATCAAAAGATCTATCAAATTATTTAACATGTTTATAACACTGTTTACATACATCATGCAACAATATTATTGCAAGTTTTGGAAAGAAAAAATCCTATTTGGTTTTGCTGCTTCAGTTTTTTAAAATTATTTAAGGAACGATATACCTTGTTTCCACAGAACATTTGTTAAGCTTTGACGTAAGATCTGAGTACACCAAATATAGAGATTCATGGGAGGGAGAGGGGGAAAGGTCGTGATCATTAATGCTAAATGATAGTCTAAATATAGCTGATTGTACATAGTGTAAGGGAAAAAAATAAACGAATGAAAATAAATGTCTTTATTACAAAATTAAAAGTTAATTTTTGATAAATTCTTCTAGATCTCATACGATAATACTAAATTTACTTCTAATGTGATTAAGGGCGTACATTGCAAAAAATACAGAAACTAGTACAAAAAATAGAAAACAAAAGTAACTCATATACTTTATTACTTTAACAACTTTTACTGATTAAAAAAAGTTCTAAATAGTAAAGGCAGTAACAGTTAAAATATTATCAAAAAGCAGAGTAAGACAGGAGAGAGTCCATATCACTTCATGTGATAAGACGTAAGACGTATTGAGTTTTAATGCATCATGGATTTTTTTTTTTTTTTTTTATGTTGGGGTGGAACATATTCACATTGATAAAATTTTCTATCAAAGCTTGTTTGATGTAAAATAATTACTAATCATTGACTAACAGGGTTCTCCATCATTTGAAAGTTTACTGTGTTGCTAAGTATACGCGAAGCACTAAATTTTTGCGGTTTATTTGCGATCAAATTCGCTACTGAATCACTATTTATTATAATTACAAAAGAAAACATGCACTCACTTATTTAAAAAACGCTAATTCGTTACACAAATGGTATGATCGTACATATTGATATAAGTAAAAACACGTTATCAAGGATACAGGAAATTCTGACCGATACAGTCGATCTACTTAACATTTTTGAAAGATTTGCCGTGATTATTTATCAGATTTCTTGTTTCCGCATACAAAAGAAGAAACAGTAAAATATTTTTAAAAGTTCCTTGAACATGTTGAAAATTTTTCGGCAAATTATTTAAATTAATTAAATGACTTTGGTACGATGTCATGTTTGACTTACAGGACTAACATAATTCTTGCGCCGTGGCTCTAAAGAAGAGACGTATTTAAATATTTTTTTAAAAAAATAATACGATGTATTTTATTGCAACTACCAATTAACCGTTACATGGAAGTGTGAAAACAAATTATTTAATTGTCTATGTTTCGTCATCCGTAAAGTCCGGCGAGAGTCTAGGAGATAATTGATTATGCAAGGTGAAGCCCTGGTTATTAAGTGCTCTAATTCTTAGAATTGAAAGACGGTAGAATTGTTTGATTAAAGTTTCAGTTAGAGATAATTTGTGTGTTTAGATTTTCTGATTAACACAGATCTTACTGTGTCGGCAAAATATTTACTGTGTTGCATGCATAAAATTTGATTCGTTACTGTGTCGGAGAAAATTTTACTGTGTCGGGAGCAACACAGTAAACCTCTCATGGAGAACCCTGGACTAAATTCACCAAAGCCATACCTCATCCGCAAAGGTCAAATTTTTAGAACAACAAGTCAAAAAATTGCAAAATCATTAACTTCAAATTATTAGTATTCCTCTTTAAAGATGTAAAATATGACGTACCTTCAAGGCTAATCTCTAGGCATTCCTATCGCAACATGACATGAAAATTGGCCTCATTTTAAATTTTTAGCATTCAGCTTCAATGAAGGATATGGAGAAAACGAACAGTATTTGATATCAATGTTCATAAACGAATACAAAATAGGAGCAGAGCAAACAGGGACCTTCAAAGTATCAGAGGTATGATCAGGTGCCATGGAGGAGTAAGCAACCCCTTTTCTACCTATTACACCCGCCGTGTGCTCCTTGTCATGATCGGGAAATAATGGGAAAATCCATCGTCAATTCAGTGAATATTTTATTATTATAACTTTATTGAATATCATGTACAAGTATTATTATTTAATATATATATCCTGATCTATTATACAGGGAGAGGGTTATATATAGGGTGTGTCATGCTGTGTTTAATTACACAGTAAAGAGTAAAATGATTTCTTTTTAAATGTCAGGTCTCAAGTATCGTATAATCTTTTTTATTGATATTTAATCATTTCATCTATTACTCATTTAGCAAATAAACTTTAATAATTGAAACCCGGTTTATGTTTTTATTTTGGACAAAAAGATAACATTATTTTCTGAAAGCGTGTCTAGTATAAGATAGATTCTTAAACAATAAAACACACTTACTATATCATTTGCTAATTAAGTACATCATTTTAAGTAATTAAATTCCGGATAAAAGTTTTCACGCTTGTTAAAAAGATAACATTGTTTTTTTGAAAGCTTGTCAAGGACCACTTAATACTTTCAATGTAAAACACTTAATTTCTTAAAGCTGTATGAGTTGATAAAATGATTGCCTAAAAACCTTTGTTACACACCATATAAAAGGCTTCCTTAAACATCAGAAATCACTGTAAAAATGGCCTTTCTACTTCTCCTTCTGTTCCTCCATGGAACTTATGGTGATTTATCTTTAATTGAAAACAAAGCTTCTGATAAAAATGGTTTGCTCTCCAGTATAATATCCGGTAAGGCTTCGAATATCCTACGTGACATTCTGAATCAGGAAAGTCTGGCCCGCTTCTCTATGGTACAAAAAATACAGAATTTAGTGATGGATGCCATAGACAGAAAAAAAGATGGACAAATTATAAAGACAAAGCTAAGTGAGGTGACAAAGGACTTACAGGATTTGGAGACTAGAAACCAAATAATGGAGGAAGAAAACGTCAAACTTAAAGAGGAATTAAAGGTCATCCATAAAACGGTGAATGGCAATAAAAACCAAACAAAAGAAGAAATTCGGGACTTGAAGACTAGAAACCAGATAATGGAGGAAGAAAACGTCAAACTTAAAGAGGAATTGAGGATCGTCTACGGTACGATGAACGCTGATAGAAACTATACAAAGGAAGACATTCGATCCTTCGACCAGAAAATTAAAAGCAACACTTTAGCTTTCCAAGATGAAAATCGTAAGTTAGCTATGAAAAATTCAGATTTCGAAAAGCAGGTTGATCTGTTTGAAAAAAAAAAATCGAAAGTGACTTGATAAGAGAAATACAGACATTGAAGGTAAAGGAACAAAGTACAATGGAGAAAATAAACGTTCTCAACGAATCGCAAATTGTTTTTGCTAAAGCTCATCTAGAAAAAATAAAAGAACTTGATGATGATATAGGTAATAAAAGTATGGTTTTCAAAAGCAATGATCGTGCATTGGCAAAAGAAGTTGAGGATCTCAAAAACCAAATGTATGGAATGAACGCAACATTACAGAAAAGCGGTGTAAACAAAATTGCCGAACGTGTTAAAAACAATGAGGAAAAAATTAATAATTTCTCAGTATCTGTAAAAAATGCTCTAGACAACGTCTGGAAGGATCTGAATGAATCGAATCGGATCTTGTCAAAAGGTATGATGACATTCTATTTAAGGAATTGAATTTAGTGTATAAATAATTGACTAACAATTCGTATGAAAAACGACATATTATGTAAATGAAAATTGCCGGTATATCTGACCTGATAAAATATACATACATTGATCATAATATCTATTTTCCAGTGCTCTCTATTGATTGTGGTAGTTGCTGGGACATTTTAAGGAAGAACCCGTATTCAAAGGGAAGCGATGGAGTATACACAATAAAAGTAAACTCTATAGAAAAGTCTGTTTACTGTGACATGAGAACAGATGGAGGAGGGTGGACGGTGAGTATGAGTCTCAGTAGTAAGGTCTGTTTACTGTGACATGACGACAGATGGAGGAGGGTGGACGGTGAGTGTGAGTCTCAGTAGTAAGGTCTGTTTACTGTGACATGAGTACAGATGGAGGAGGGTGGACGGTGAGTGTGAGCTTCAGTAGTAAGGTCTGTTAACTGTGACATGAGTACAGATGGAGGAGGGTGGACGGTGAGTGTGAGCCTCAGTAGTAAGGTTTCTTTACTGTGACATGAGTACTGATGGAGAAGGGTGGTTGGTGAGTGTGAGCCTTAGTAGTAAGGTATGTTTACCGTGACATGACTACAGATGGAGGAGGGTGGACGGTGAGTGTAAGCCTCAGTAGTAAGGTCTGTTTACTGTGTCATGAGTACAGATGGAGGAGGGTGGTCGGTGAGTGTGAGTCTTAGTAGTAAGGTCTGTTTACAATGACTTGAGTACAGATGGTGGAGGGTGGACGGTGAGTGTGATCCTCAGTAGTAAGGTCTGTTTACAATGACTTGAGTACAGATGGAGGAGGGTGGATGGTGAGTGTGAGCCTCAGTAGTAAGGTCTGTTTACTGTGACATGAGTACAGATGGAGGAGGGTAAACGGTGAGTGTGAGTATCCGTAGTAAGGTCTGTTTACTGTGACATGAGTACATATGGAGGAGGGTGGACAGTGAGTGTGAGCCTTAGTAGTAAGGTCTGTTTACTGTGACATGAGTACAGATGGAGGAGGGTGGACGGTGAGTGTGAGTCTCAGTAGTAAGGTCTGTTTACTGTGACATGAGTACAGATGTAAGAGGGTGGACGGTGAGTGTGAGCCTTAGTAGTAAGGTCTGTTTACCTTGACATGACAACAGATGGAGGAGGGTGGACGGTGAGTGTGAGCCTCAGTAGTAAGGTCTGTTTACTGTGACATGAGTACAGATGGAGGAGGGTGTTCGGTGAGTGTGAGCCTCAGTAGTAAGGTCTGTTTACTGTGACATGAGTACAGATGGAGGAGGGTGGTCGGTGAGTGTGAGTTTAAGTAGTAAGGTCTGTTTACTGTGACATGAGTACAAATGGAGGAGGGTGGACGGTGAGTAAATAAAATATCGAACTCTTCCTACCAAGGTTATACTTGTACTTTGAATTGCCATGAATCGTTATTATTCAATTTAACCTCATCACGTGTAAAGAAAAAATGATTTCAAATTGCATCAATATGAAATGTAACGTTGAGCAAGAAATTGAAATAACAAGATAAATATATTTTGTCTAACCACCGTTATCAATGTGTTAAAGGAAATACAAAGAAGGCAGGACAATTCTACAGATTTTTACAGGACGTGGTCAAAATATAAACAAGGATTTGGGGATCCCTCTACAAACTACTGGATTGGTAAGATTGACTTTTTGCTTATCTACCAAAATAACAAAATAAACCTTCATATACCTTCTTGTAAAAGAATGTTTATATTTATTTAATTATTGTAATTTTTGAAATATATCCAAAGGCCCTTCCTTGGTATTAAATATCATTCATTTTAGAAAAAAATAACGTCGGAGTCGTATTAAAATTGATCGAAAAAACCCAAGTAAGGTAGAATTGTTTTGAATTTATTGATTGATTTATTGATTGATTGTATATTGTTTAACGTCCTCACGAGAATTTTTTTCACTCATATGGAGACGCCACCACTTGCCGGTGGAGAACTACAATTTTTTTGTCCTAAATTCTGCACTCAGGGCCAACGAGCAGCCAGGGATCTTATTTGTGCCAGCACTTACTGCGACATGGGACTCTGTTTATACGGTCTCATCCGAAGGACCGTCTCCATGTCCCACGGTGGGATTCGAACCCACGACGTAAGGATCAACTCCTACTTCGCGACTCTAGAGCAGACGCTCCACTGCTAGAATTGTTTTACTTGTGAGAAAAGTTAAAGAAAAGAATTTTTCTCTTTGTCTCTTTGCATGTTTTATATGATCTTCGACAAAACAGATCATTAACAATTTATCTATAGAGAACAGATAACACAAACGTTTTAACAAAATTATAATTCATGGACGAAATTAAGAAGAACTTTAAATCATATCCACTCTTCGGCAAGGAAAGAAAACACTTAAAATAGTTATTAAATTAATAAAGTCTCAAAATGAAGCTTGAAACATAAATCTTTCCGTGCATCAATTTTCACGTATCTCAATATTATTCAAGATTCTTTGAGGTCATAGAATTGTCTTGTAGAAAGTTGACATTTGTACTCAATTAATGTACAAAAATAAATATTTTTATAAGTAGCATAACTTAGAAGTAATCTGTACTGTCGTGCAATAATAGCACAAACTTTTTACACTATGTGTTTTATAACAATTGAAATAAATAGATGAACTTAAATGTCTGGCTATCTTTATTTTTTATCTTAATCAAAAACAATTTACAATTAGAAATTAGAAAGTGCATAGCGTGTATCTTGTCAGACTTATCTGTATGGAGTGTGAGAACATCACCCGGTCTAATTAATGCAAGATATCATATCCTCAGGGATACAAAGTACCTATGAATAAAGGATTGACTTTCTGCCGCCACTCGCCACACTTGCTGTATCTTTATTATTACTGATTAGTTGAAACTACATGGAAAGGGGGGGAGGGTGTGATATTCCAATTAACAATCTTAAATGTGTTAAATAGGAGTCAGATCCGGTGATATGGCAGGCCAGGACATCACTCAGATGCCGTTTGGTCAATCCTAAATTCTTCTAGAGCTATTCGCAACTTAGTGTACCTCATTAAGGAGGATTCTGTCTGAAATAATGTTGAATTGCAATGAGCATCATTTTCTTGTCATTTAAGTTGCTAATTAATTTTGTCCACCCTCCTCCATATTTTGTTTTTGGTAAAATACATATGGTATCTTTTACATTTCTGTCGTGTTTGTCTGTCAATTGTTGCTTTACTTCCTTTGTAAAATGAGGTTAATTTGTGTATCACTGAATATTGTATGCTTTTTTTCAGGATCAGCTAAGATATTGTTTCACTGGATTATTTAATTGGGCATATAATTGGATAATTCTGGTAAGTTTGTCTTTGTTTTGTTTACATTTCCTATGAAGGTCATCTTTGTAGGACTACATGTTGTATATGCTAATATCTTTTTGTATGCTGTACTGACAGGTATTAAACAAAATTGAATATGCTGTTAAGAGAAAGTCTGTTAGTGTCTAAAAATTACACTGATAATCATTTTGTATTTGTGATATTAATACAGTAACTGTGCTTCTTTTGTTATCTAAAGATAACATGATGAACTATTTTCATGAACTTTTTAGCACTGTATTTAAACATGCAATGTTTCATGCAGTTCCTTGTCATATTAACAAAATGATTATATTTTCTATACAGTCCTCAACCTGGAAGATATGTTTTGTTCCTAACCATCTATAATCCATTCTCTATGAAGTTCAGCCTGTCTGCCCAAATTCCTTTGGAAATACATAATTAGTCAACCAACATAGAAACAATCAAACTTGAAGGTAAAGTTTCAATGAGATATCATTTTAATTTATTTAATTCTGTTTTATTTAAATGTTTATATTTTAAAATGGATAAAAAAATGGATAAAAAACATCTGATAATGGAAATCAATATCATAAAGATAGTAAGTTTTTTAGTGTCTAAATAATTAATCTGATAATCATTTTATTTATGATATTAATACAGTAGTTGTGCTTGTTTATTATCTATAGATAACATGATGAACTTTTCTCATCTGGAGTTAATGTTAAAAACAATTTTTTGAGATTAAAAACAAATATTTTCATGATCTTTTTTGGTATTGTACATGTTGTATTTAAACATGCAATGTTTCATGCAGTTCCTTGTCATATTGAAAAAATGATTATATTTTCTATACAGTCCTCAACCTGGAAGATATGTTTTGTTCCTAACCATCTATAATCCATTCTCTATGAAGTTCAGCCTGTCTGCCCAAATTCCTTTGGAAATACATAATTAGTCAACCAACATAGAAACAATCAAACTTGAAGGTAAAGTTTCAATGAGATATCATTTTAATTTATTTAATTCTGTTTTATTTAAATGTTTATATTTTAAAATGGATAAAAAAAATGGATAAAAAACATCTGATAATGGAAATCAATATCATAAAGATAGTAAGTTTTTTAGTGTCTAAATAATTAATCTGATAATCATTTTATTTATGATATTAATACAGTAGTTGTGCTTGTTTATTATCTATAGATAACATGATGAACTTTTCTCATCTGGAGTTAATGTTAAAAACAATTTTTTGAGATTAAAAACAAATATTTTCATGATCTTTTTTGGTATTGTACATGTTGTATTTAAACATGCAATGTTTCATGCAGTACTCTGTCATATTAACAAAATGATTATATTTTCTACAGTCCTCAACCTGGAAGATATGTTTTATTCCTAACCATCTATAATCCATTCTATATGAAGTTCAGCCTGTCTGCCCAAATTCCTTTGGAAATACATAGTTAGTCAACCAACATAGAAACAATTAAACTTGAAGGTAAAGTTTCAATGAGATACAATTGTAATTTTTATTTATCTATTTATTTATTTATTTATTTACATATGCATTTTTATATTTTTGAATTGATAAGTAAATGATATATGATTTTTTTTTTTAAATAAAGAGGGCTTGGTGGTCATGGTCATGTTTAAACTCTATTGATATCCTTTAGAAGAAGAAGAAAAGGCATAAAAATTCATGATCAAATTTTTAAAACTAAAATGTATGAAATTTTTCTTTGCCAAATGATAGTTAACAGCTGAAGATAGCATATTTATAGAATAAGTTAAATATGGCTAATTTGTTAACCCCCAGCTTCCTTAATAGCATAATTGGTAAAGATAGGAAGTTTTGACTTCAATTGCTGATGAATTCTGAATTTTCCATTTAATATTAACATTCTATCAAAGAGAAAGAATACTATAATGTGGCTCATTAGGATGACCAGAAAAGAAATCTTAATGACCCTCTTGACTATGTATAAAGATTGTAACCTTATAACTGATGTAAGATGATCTGATTGTGTGGAAATAAAATTTCCTGGTGTTTCTACTACCCAAGATCTTCTTATGAGTGTATGGGACTGCTGTAATCCTTCTCCTGTTTATAAAAATAATACCTTGGAGCATGACACTTTATTCATAAAAGGCACTTTCAATATCATTTCTATGAGTTTGTGTTCTTTCTTTTTAATAATCTAGTGTTATATCTCCTTTAACCTCATTAATATGTATGCTTCCAACATCTTAGATCTGTCTGTATAGTTTCTTCAGCTCTTTGAACACAAATACCCTGATTCAATCTTTTGAGGTAAACATCATAGAGACATCATAGATGATTATCAGAGTGTATATATCACAATCTTGACCATAAGGTCAATTTAAATGGTCAAAGGCACAACAAATGAAAGTGAAAACTTTTCTTTTTTTTTTTTATCAGAATACATAATTTTGTAATAAACAAACACTGGAAAGTTACTCTCATAATGAGCCTTAATGTCTTCCAAGAGTTCAGTTTGGACTTCCTCCATTAATCCTTGTATCTTGTAATCCTTGTATCTCCAATGGTTTTGTGGGCTAAAAATCATGTGTCTTTAACAATCTTTTTTTTTCTGACAACTGTTTTCTCTTATCATCTATAAACTTGACTTCTTCTCTAGTCAAAGGTCTTTCAGGGTAATCCAAGTAATTCTCACCCTCTTTTGGTAATAAATGGTTATATTCTTCATTGGCTTCTTCTGCAATCAAGGGTCTTTCTATGTAATCTCTGACAACATTAGGATCACCCTTTTCTGGACATAATTGGTTATATTCTTCTTGAGAAATGATCTCAATAGTGCCATCTTTTTTATTTTAACTGGTATACCTCTGTCTACATCTTTCTCTGAAAGAATTCTCTCTCCGAACTGAATTTTACTCATTCCTTTACTCTTTTCTTTACTAGAGGTGTTACCCATGGTTAATATGAAAAGTCAAAATCTTATGTTACAACTTGTTTTTATACCCTTTTTGTCTATATGTAGAATTCCATCAAGCTTATATTACATTACAATTTTTTTTTTTTCAACTAAGACATTATTTTTTTTTATTTTTTCAGGATTCTCTAGTGAGAGGTTATGGAAATGATCTATGTCTACTCTTAGAATGGTGAAAGACTCTCAGATTATGCAAAGACTAACAGAATATCCTCTCTTGGAACACTGAAACAAGAAAACCAAACTTAAGAGGATGCAGGATTTAAGAAGAACATAAATATGATTTCCATCGAATTTAACCAGTACGATCATAGACTGTGGTTTATACAGGATGACAAAGAAAGGACCCAGGATTGTATGTTTCACTGTCAGACACTGACTATGGATAAAGTGTAATCATTTATCAAACTGAGATCTAGTCAAATCAAGTATTGAAAATATGATTTTCTGATAGCATGAGCTCTTTAAAAACTATTTCTCACTGACCTCAAAGTATCTGAATGTGACTTTTATTTTTACCAATTCATATTGAAGACTGTTGTTATGTATGGGAATTACACATTTAAACCTTTTATTTTTCATCTAATTTTTACAACCCCCTAGAAATTACACAGATATCCAGATGCTGGATTTAATGGTATTATTTAACTTTCCTGGAATTGTAAATATATTTTGTTTGTGTATGTATCATGTTTAATTTTGAATTTAAAATTTGTCTCAATAGGACCCCCATAAAGATGTAAGTGTCCCATAATCTGTGATGCAATAATATCTTGAATATTTGTTGTCATCCCATATACTTCATACTTACTACATAAAGACTGATTGGAGGAATACACTTTGTTGTTTGGGACACTTTATCAAGGTCAAAGCATGAGATTATTGAGAAGACTACTTTGACAATAATTTGTAACTTACAAACTTCACATCATAAGTACATAAATGAAGAATGAATAGGATGAATAAGAGATTTCTTAAGAAATCTTGGATCATGTTTCTCCTGAATAAAAACCAGTTACTGAGATAACTGATATGAGTCTTGCAATAACTTCAACATTTTGTAATAAGTATAGAAAATATGATTTTCTGATAGCATGGGCTCTTTAAAAATTAATTCTCACGGACTTCAGAGTATTTAAATGTGACTTTTATTTTTTGCCAATTCATATTGAAGACAGTTGTTATGTATGAGAAGTATACATTTAAACCTTTTATTTTGCATCTTATTTCTATATCCCCCTAGAAATTACACAGATATTCAGATGCTAGATTTAATGTAATTATTACTTTCCTGGAATTGTAAATATATTGTATTTGTGTATATATGTATGTGTATTGTACCCTATTTTTAAATTTAAAACTTGAAATATGATAAAGGTCCCTTAGTATCCCACTTCAAGATGCAGTTACCCAGTAATCTGTGATGCAATATCTTGAATATTTTTATCATCTCATATACTTCATGCTTACTACACATAACAGCTTATAGTAATACACATAGTTTTAAAGGACACATTTGTCAAGGTCAAAGCATGCGATTATTGAGATAACTACTTTTGAAAATAATTTGTAACCTACAAACTTCACATCATAAGTTAAGAATGAATCGGAGATTTTCTATAGATTTTAAGATCATTTTTCTTCTGGGTAAAAGTCAGTTGGTAAGATTACTAATATGAGCTTTGTAATGTTGAAACTTTAACATTTTGTTATAACCT